GAAATTGTAATTTAAAAATTAAAAAAAATTCACTAAAAATGATTTGTCCCATTTCTACTGACTCCCCCCCATATATTTATATTTATTTTTTTTAAATCAAAATTAATTTATAATTAATAGAGCAAACTCTTTCTTATCCTCAATGAAAGAGGTGGGAATTTTGGGCTTAACTATGAGTTAAAGTGAAACAAACAAAAAGATCGACTATCCAAAATACGATTCCTATACTAGTCGAGCTTTTGGGTGAGAAATATGGCACCAATCAGACCGAGTTGGCCAACATGTTAAGACAGCATCTCAAATCGTCTCGCAATACCTGGGGTATACATCGGAATCCAACCTGAAGTATTCATTTCGATGAACGGATCTACAAAACCTACCGAAGAGATGATGTATGAGATATATATTATATATATTATGACTTAAAATTGATCTAAATTCAGTTAGGTCTATTTTAAGTCATAAAAAATCGACCTAGCTAAATTTAGGTCGATTTTAAATCATAATTTACTAAATCTTAGTTTTCAATATTTTAATTTAATTTTACAGAAAATATTTCAGCGAGCTTCGGCATTCAAGTACCTTCATTCGAAGAAGAATACTCAACTTTCCAGCTATGATATAGACAAATTAACCAAAGTCTTGGCCAATAATGACATCTATTTATCTGAGATATCAGATCCCGGTAAAGAAACAGATGAAAGAGGTCATCTGTATATTAACATTCATAGCTTGGCTAGGAGGTCAAAAAAGGTATAAAATTTTTTTTTCTGTTACACTTGCAAAAATTTGACCACTATTCGACTGATATTCAGTATGTCAAATGATATATATAGTATATCATTCGACATATCAAACATCAGTCGAATAGCGATAACAGGAATATTAATTTAATTAATTTATTTGCATATTGATTTTTTCTTTTTATTTTAATAGTTAACCAATTTGTTGCATGGTGTCCTCGATATAGCCGTGCAATTTAATTCCAAAAGTTCCTGCTGAAGCTCATATATGTTGATGGCTCTTCGACCTATAATTTGCCTGATTGGGCAATAAGAAATGAATATGAGGAGGATGAGGAGGATGAAGAGGATGAAGAGAAAGAGAAGAAGGAGGATAAAGAGGATGAAGAGGATGAGTTAGATAAGGATAAGGGTTTTGATGATGATGGTAAATAGAGAAATAATGAAGGAAGGAGTGCCAGAAGTCGTGGTAAAAGACCAGCTTCTGATACTATAGAGGAAGCTTCAAAAAAATGAAGGGTTTAATTTTTTATTTTATTTTTTTTTTTTTTTTAAATTTTATTCGCTTCTTTTTTTTTTTTTCTTGTTTTTTTTTTACTTTATTTTTTTCTTTTTTCTTAAATTTGTATTTAATTTATTTTAATAAATTTATAATATGTTAAAATCATCCAGAATTCGATTTGTATAAATGTTATTAGTAATTGATTGTTGATTATTAATTGACAATCGATTGAAATAGCCAATTTGACTTGAATTCAGCTATCGAATTTATATCAAATATTATTAGTAAGCAGTTGTCGATTATTAGTATTCAGTGATTAATTATAAGTCGATTTATTATAATTAATCGACTACTGAATGAAATGGCCGAATTGACCTGAATTCGGCCATTAAATTTATACTAAATTTATTCTGAATTTTATAAGTATTCAGTGGCCGATTATAAGTTGATTTATTATAATTAATTGACTACCGAATGAAATAACTGAATCGACCTGAATTTGGCCATCAAATTTATACCGATTTTATTCCGAATTTTATAAGTATTCGGTCGTCGATTACAGGTCGATTTTTATTATGTCAATCAGTTGTCGATTGAAATTTTCAACCTAAATTCGGTTGCTGATTTTTTATTAGTATTCATCTGTCGATTTACTCTATCATTTGGTATAATATTAGCCAAATATTCGACAGTCGAATTCAGGTCGATTCAGCCATTTTATTCGGTGATCGAATTTTTTATATTCGACTAGTATTAACTATAAAAAAAAAAGTAGAGACTATTTTATTTAATAGTATATAATTTTTACAAGCCTGTTATAAGCTTATAATTGTGATATTAGGTTTAACAGATTATAATGTTTAGTTTTTTCAATACTTCTCTTATTTTTTCTTTTCTTGTTATATATTTTGTTTTATTATATTTCTTATATCTTTGTATTTTTTTTTTAGTTTTAATTATTTTTATTTAATTTTGCTTCTTGATGAAGAATATAGCTGCTAGCTAATAAATAAAGAGAAAAAAGTTCTTAATAAGTTAAGAACCCAAAGAAAGACCAATTGCTACTAAAGCAGGTTATGTCTAATTTAAGTATAAGTAAGCCTTTATTTCAGTAAATTAGTTATAATTATAAATAAAAATTTTATAAAAATTTTTAATTTAAAAATTGTTAAATAATTTAATTCTAAATAAACAAAAGCAGGATAGCTAAATTAAAGTAAAAAAATAAAAATAAAACAAAACTGCTAAATTAAAAAAAATTTATTATTAAAATTATTATTAAATAATTATTAAAAATATTATTGAAAAAGATTAAATTTTATTATATAAATTATTAAGTAAAAAATTAAAAGATATTAAAGTTCATTAAAAAAATTATTGAGTTAAATTCTTAAATAGTATATTAATATCTTGATATATTATTTAATATATTGAATAGATTATTAAATGATATTTTAAAGATATCTAAATTTTGCTTTTATTAAAACAAAAAAATATTTTTTTGTATTTTTTGATTAGATGATTTCTATTTGTACACTAGTGTATGAAACACGGGTATATAGAAAGCCAATTAGGTTACACGATCAGGTATAACGTCAAATTATTGCTTTCTTTAAAAATCGTTTATAACTCAAAATTTCGCATATGAAATCATCTTTTTAGTATTAATTAAAAAAATTCCTTGCGAAATTTTGGTATAAACTATTCACTCTGCCCTGTCCCAAGCCCACCCTTATCCTAACCTTAAATAGTGCTTAACTTTTCATTTATTCAAACTGTTTTGATTTACACATTACACAGAATTGCAAATTAATATCCGTGTACAATACACTAGTATATGCTAAGAAATTTTCTTTTGATTATATTTTGAATATTTTTTTTTGTATTTTACTGTTTATATTTTTAATTTATTTTCTAAAAATATAATTATTATTGGGAAATTCTATTTTCACCTGGGTTAAAGTCACCTGATATATAATTTCCATTATATTAAATAATACAAACTACTATAACCAACCAGAAAGTCTAGTTAAAGGTTAGGGTAGATAGATTTTATGATATTATATGAATTTATATTATAAAATATAATAAAAATTATGTATTAGGTGACTTTAACCTGGGTGAAAATAGAATTTCTCATTATTATTTACTTTATTTATTTTAATTATTATTATATTTTTATTATATTTCTTTATTATATAGTTTAAATTAAACCATCACCTTTTTTTCTTTTTTTAAAATATTTTAAATTAAAACCATTATTATTTTTTATTTTAAGTATTATAATAAAGTATTATTTTGTATTAAAGTTTATTTTTGTTTTATTTTTGATTTTATATTTTTCTTGTTTGCAAACATATTTCTTATTCTTTTACATATTAAATCAAGTAATATAACTTTATTAAACTTTGTATTATTATATTATACAAATTTGTTTGCTAATCTAAACAGTTTAAAAGATAATAAAATTTTAAATTTAAATAATAAATGTGATGATTAATGAAATCAGATTAAAATAAAACGAGAAATAGTGTAAAATAGACAAGCCACCAAAAATACAAATTTTTGAAGTGCATTTTTTTAGCATTTTTTTTAGAGTTAGAATTAGTGTTTAGAAGCAATTTTTATAATAAACAAGTATAAGTAGGTTTTAGAGGATCAAATAAAAACCCCTTATTTCATTTTAATCTGATTTCATTATGATCTGCGACAATAAATATATACTAAATATTAACTATATATATAAATATATAAAATATATAATTTTTAATCTATTTTAAACCAATATTTTAATACAATATATAAAACTAAAAAATATATAAATATTTATATACTGTATTTAGTTGCACGATTTACATATCGCAGCAGTATATAAAAATAAATAAAATTAAAATTTCTCATAGATAACCACAAAGCCGGCGTAGCTTAGTGGTAGAGCGTCAGTCTTGTAAACTGAAGGTCGGTGGTTCAATCCCGCCCGTCGGCTAGTGAGATTTTTTATTAGCAATCCAAGTGAAGCAAAACAGATAACGATATAAATTTTCACATTATAACGAAGGTAACATTTTGCAAATAAACGTTCGATTTTTTAAGAGTAAATACAAATGAATGCTACAAATACGCGTCGGTCTATTATTCAGAAAGAAATGCGCTAACACAAATGAAAAGTCATATTGTCCTGCAGACATGAGATCTTTAAGCTAAAAAGCAATTGTTAGTTGTTCAAAAATTAATAAAATTAAAAACTATTGTAGCAAAAATCGTATACAGTAGAAACTTTATCCGTTAATACTGTATTTGCTACGGTAAAAAGCCACTAATTAATTTAGGCAAACAAAAAAACAAAATCTTAAACAAATTGATGAGTGTTAGTCACCTAGCAATTTTTTTCCCAATGCCTTCACATTCAATCGTATGCAAACCAACAGTATATTCATCATCTGGACATTTGTCATCTAGACGATTGCCATCTATTTTAAACTTAGCACCAGACATTATTTCAGCAAAATGTATAGCTGTACGAGTATGTTGAGTAACTGGACCTAATGAAAATCATTTATTAATATATAACTCAAAAAAAATACAAAACATTATAAACTGTAAATTTGTAATAACCAGTAACAATCTGTGATTTTCCTTCTGCGATCGCCATAAAAATAATTAATTGATCTTGAAGATACCTTATACGTTTAAAGTAATGGATTATAGGATAGAAGCGGTCACGAACAAATACGATCGATAATAAGCAAATTGTTAAATTTTGAAATGATTTTTTTTTTTTTTTTTTTTTATTAAGTTATTAATTAAAATTGTTCAAAATTAGTTCTGGTCATATTTACTTATAAAACCCAAATATCTTCTCTAAAATTCAAAATTTTAAAACTCATCATCGGTTACATGTCGGTCATAACCGTCACATGACCGATAATGTTAAAGGTATTTAATCTTGTATGTAAATATGACTAGAACTTGCTCTGAAAAACTTTAATTAATAACTTATAAAGAAAAAAATCATTACAAAATTTAGCAATTTGCTTATGACCGTTCCCATATCTAATGGATTATATATTATTAGAGAAATCGAATTTATAAAAAGGTAATAAAAGCAACAAAGTAACATACTCATCTACACATCCACCATGCTTGATATTATCTAAAAGTTTTTCAGCAGCTATCATTCCTGTATCCACTGGTGATTGCCCTAATATTAAAAAGTATTTTAATATGATAAGTAAATAACTCTGCTGTAATATCTTGAAAACTATTTCATTATTGAAATGAGATAGTAAATAACTCCGTTTAATATCCAGGGTTGGGCAGCCTTCTATGTCCGATGAATTTTACCGGACGCCGGACATGTAAATTTGTCCGGTATCCATTGATGTCCTAATTATTTGGTTTGCTTGACTCTGAACAGTATTGTTGTTACTAGCCTTAAGTCTAGTACTTTTATTTAGCCTTTAGCCCTAGGTCTAATTAGCCTTAGCCTTAAGTCTAATTGAGCCAAATCCGACAGTTTATATGTCTAAATAACAACACTGCTGAAACAGAGGTTTCTTATTTTTAAAAATTATAAACAATTTTAGAAATTTAAATTTCATCGGACAATCCGCTTGTCTGATTGTCCAACCCTGTTAATATCCACCTCTATTGTTGACCGCGTTGCCGCTTATTATACACCCTGAACTTGTCTCTGCCCATAACCTGCAAACAAAAAGTATACATTATAATGTGATAGATACTGTATAGTTATATACAAGAACATATATATATATAACCTACAATATATCGTAACCTTTGCCAGAAGCGATCTTTTCAATATTAATTTTTATGTCTGGCTTAATATTTTTAAGCTCCGGTAACGTTTCATTAGAGAATACTTGAGCTACGCCCGAAATTATTTTAGTAGCAACCTTAGATGTATTGAATAAATTGGGATATAGTTTAATAAAAAATACATGCTACGGATAATAAAGAATCTATAATTACTTCTTCTGGAGAATTTGCAATGGTCACGCACCTTAAAAAGTAAATATTAAAATATAAAAAATGAAATGAAATAAGATGCCGTATATGTTAAACATATTTATCATTTGGTTACCAGGAAAAATCTTGTTCAATTTAAAGACTTACCCTTTAATATTAATTATGCTACCGCGGTTGATCATGCTTAATGGCTTTAAGGCTTGTTCAACTAAAGGGTCCACACTTAAAATGACTTCACCACCGCCTTGAGGATAATATCTAAGATTACAAACGGAACAATCAGATATCACATCAAGCTTACAAACAGTATTAACATGAAATTATTGTGACAGACCCACGGCCTATAACATTAATGCTAAAATTGAAACCAAATTCACGTTGAACAATTGGTCTAAACACCTTTGAAATAAAAAATGTGGCATATAATTACGTCTTTTAAATAAAAAAAAAGGTATATTAAATTAGAAATATTCAAAGAAATTAATAATACCTCAATTAAGAAATCAATTGGTGGTGCCAAACCAACATTGGTACCACCTTTAAGAATGGCCTTCTGTGCTCTAGGTGGTAAAGACAACTTTGATTTTCGCGGAGACGCAGAAAACATTAACGGTGGTAACGCGATTTGAATCAATAATGAGATACTCCTGCAATTTAATAAATAAATGAATGATAAATATGATAAACAAATATTAATTTAATAAATTTGATAAAAAGTCTAAGATATTACCCCGCTGTCTTAATATCACATATAAAAGTTTTACTTTGTTCCGCATCATGCGGATGAAACAAAATTTCTTGAGAACCAATCTAAAGAATTTAATGATAAGGTTGTATGTACTTATTTTTATATAAATTATTTATGTATAGAAAGTTACTTTGTCGCCTTGTAAATCTGCTTTGAAAATGTCACGTATAAGCTGAAGGCCAGATAAGTGTTGCGGTTTAAGACCTAACATATGAATGGATGGAAATTTATAACGCATTTAAATAACTAATTGAACCGAGGTAACTAACCAGGTTTATCACGCTTTGCACGGATATTAATGAGTCGAACCGGCTTATTCATAAGGCAGCTATAAAGTAAATCAAAAGTAAGAAAATACAGTAATGGCATGATGTATAAAATTTTTTAAAACGATATGCTACCTGAAGACTACACAATTCCGAAGCACTTTACAAAATAATTTTTTAAATAGGAGCAAAAGTTTAGAAAATTATTCGCGAAAGCATGAGGGTAATAAGGTACAGTCACAACTCCATAAATGCATGTACTCCATAAATGCACGGACTATTCTTAATACACGATATAGCTGGTCCCAACTTATGAGAGCTCTATATGTTTTGCTCTCTATAAATGTACACCCTCTCTAAATGCACATTTTTTCATTTAAAAAGTTGTGACTGCGCAAAAAAATTTCCTATACACCTTGTCCTCCACCCTCGAGTAAACCACCATCCAGAGTTATGAATTCTTCCTGTATTTCTGTTGCTTTATCCATTACTGAACATTCAATGGAATTGAATTACATAAGTTTCGCCAAGTGAGAACCTATAATTCTAAAATTTCGGATATTTCACTTCATGGAATATGAAAAAGTTCGTCTGATTGGCTGATGTGAGTTAATTGCCCGAGATTCGGATATCCGCTAGTTTAACAAGTGACCCTTGATATAGGAAAGTTGCCGGCCAAGAAACTCTTGATATAAGAAAGATTTTGTAAGTCCCAATTGAAAATTTTATAATAAAAAACCTTCGATAAAAAATCTCGGTATAAGAAAGATCTTATATCGAAGGTTTCATATCGAGAGACACTTGTGTATTATAATATCCGTATATACGTTAAATTTTAAATAGAAAACCGCATCTCTACCTAAAACATTTTACATAGATGCTTTATATTTTTTGTTCAAGCTCACGATCTTACGAGTGTATTATATACATTTACTTTTCTATATGCATTTTACTTTCGTCCTTATTTTTTTTTTTATTCATTTTTTTATTTTTTCTTTATCATTTTTACGCGTTTTTTCGCGTCTTTTTTTTACAAAAACCTATATCTGACTCTTATTAAGATAAGTGTTTCATTATATACACGCATAATATCTAGCTTTTACGTCTATTTTAACTTTTAGCATAAAAGATTTTCATGGCGGTTGTTTTAGTAAGTGGTAAGATGCGGGGGTTTTTTTGCAAGACTCTTTTATCCCAATAGGTATAGGCAATGTTTTATTAATTTTTTTTGGTATTAAGGTAATCTCTTGGCCGACTCTTTTTATTCGATTATAATTTAACTTTTACAGTATAAGCAAATACTCATACCATATACATATTTGAAGAGTACAACTAGCCACACATACAACTTTTGGTTGCCTATTTAAGCAGTCTGCATATAAATAGTATATTATAGGTTTTACACTAGATGTTATATCTATAACTTGACTAGAGGTTATTTATTTAAACCCTTTGTGCCTATATTATTATTCTTTTAACCAAGTAAGAATACTAATTTCTTTTTATTTTCAGATATCAACTTAGGATTTTAAAGTGGGTTTATATCTTTTAGAAAGCTTTTTATTTTAAGATAAACCTGCTAGAGCCTTTATATTTATAATTTGGCTAACTTAGATTTTGGTAATTTATGTCAAGTTCAAAAACAAGTAGTTGTGGTTTTTTATTTCTATTATTATTATTTACTTTTGATTTTGTAGAGCTAATCTAAATCTTAGTATATATTTTATAAACTATTAACAGTATTTTAAAATCATTAACAATATTTTAAATTTTTAATTTAGAAGGCTCAGGAAAGACTAGTAAGTGTTTTTTGGTATTTTGATTGAATTTTTTTTCTTTTAGCTTCTTGTTTGACAGCTTGTTTAGTATAATATTTTGTTAAATATTTGGTTTTTATTTAGTTTTATTACTAGTATCTAATTGTTAATAATTATTTTTTATATAGTAATGTTTTTTTTTTGTTTTATTTTTACAATATTATTTTTTTATTTGTATTAGGGGCAAATTTGCTTTCTAATTTTAAGTAATACCTAAAAATTTTTAAATAAAATTTTAAATTTTAATTTTAGCAATATATTTTCTAAATAAAAAATATATTTTAAATCTGTTTAAACAATTTTATTAAAAAAATTTTTAAGAATATTAAAAAAATTTTGAATTATAAAAATTTAAAGTGAGAATGTAGTGATTTAATAAAGTGGTTGAGTTGTTACCCCCCAAGCAGTATATCTAGAGTTCAATTCCTACCAATAGTGAAAAATTAAATTCTTTCATGTAATAGCAACTTTCTCGTATATTAGAAAGAAAATCCTGTAATATCAGTCATACCTTATATAAGAAAAATATTCATTGCACTATCAGGTTGATTTAAGGGAGATCTTGGGGTATTTGTATAATGTACGAGTTGTACAAAGAGGATACAAAACTGGTAAGGTGGAGTAAACTCATAATAAGTCCTCGGATTGTGTTAATCTGATGAATAGCACTATGGAAAGCCTACTTGATAAGATCCAAATAGAGAAGTAATACAAGCTTTTGACAGTGCTTACTGGAATAAACTCTATTTAAGGTTGAAAAACTAGATAAGGCAAGAGTACCAGCAAGCTACTTCACCAACCAGGTCACTGAATCAACTGGAAAAAGACTAGTGTTCTTTCTAGGCCATTTGGATTGGTAATCTGAGAAGACCAGCTAGAGATACTAAAAAGAAAGGTACTGGGTTGTCTTGAAAAAAAAGTATCAGAGCTTGGATAAACTTTGCAAGAGCCAAGTAGTTAGACAGTATAGTCTGCCTATAAAGGTTTAGAACCTATCCGGCTATCTATCTGTGATAGAGATTGGTGGTGTGACCTGTTTGTAAAGGTATAGAATCTATTCAGTAATATCTATCTGAAAAAGACTAGATCATACGTTAAAAGTGGGTGATAGATGGCTTTAGCAGGTGATGCAATCAAGGATGAATTGGTTAAACACCAGTAGTTCTATAGATAAACTTGTAATGATCTCAAAACTTGGACTGACTAATGTATTATATGTTCCGGGTGAGATCAGATGGATTAGTATAAGAAACTCAGATCAGAGGGTTTAATTGACAATTCTCCAGTTAACTGAAGAATGATCATAGTGAAACGTAATGCAGTTCTATATATAAATTACTATAGATGCGAAAGTAGAAATTTTCTAGTGATTGTCCAAAGAAAACTTTTTTTCGTA